TTTCCATTCATTCATTTTTGCACACTTTCCTCCCTGCCCACCCCTCCCCCCGTTCGCTTTTCTCTTCGAAAAGTAAAAAAAAAAAAAAAAAAAATCCTTTCATTGTTATACAATCTCCCATCCCACCCCTCAGTCCACTCCACTATTTAGCTTTCATTCTGGACACTTGTCATGAAAATAATACCTAATCATATTTTCTTCCTCAACAGTTCTCCCTCTCATCTGTGTCAATGCAGTATACATTACTTATTTCCTCTTTTCTGAGGTTCTCCCAAACCCACTGTCAGTCTCACTTTACCATTCTTTACCATTCACCATCCTGGTTTTTAAGAAACACTCTTGCTGCACTTCTAAAACAAAAGTTTCTTCTTTTGGTAGTCTATGAGGTATTCATGACTCTTCTTCACAACATCACAATTCTAAACATTAGATTTCCTTCAATATTTCTTATTCATTGTTCAACTTTCACATGTATATAAAGCAACGACAAATACCATGGCTTGGGTCAACAATACCTTAGTGACATCCTTTCACACACGTGCATGTGCACACACACAACCACTTCATTCTTTCTGTCCTTCAAGGGAATGCTTTACCCAGTTGTAGAGACTGACAATGCCCAAGTCTGTGTAGCATACATCAGGCTGGAGGCATCTCTTGACTTACGTAAATGTAAAGTCCCAAAGCCCGTGGGTCAAGCAGTGGTTCATAACTCAAATATTTGGTGAAATAAAATACTAGATCAAGAAAGTGGAGGTTTGTCACAACAGCAGTTTCTACTGGTTGTGTGCCATAGTCATCAAATTCCCCTTTAGACACTTTGAAAACCCACATCCAATCACAAAATGGAGTGTGACTAAAAATCTTCCCAAGTGACTAATGGCTTGGTCCAGATGACACAGTAAATCTTTTTCAGAAATAATGAGGTCAAAAATCATTTAGGAAGAGTCTTTTTCATGTCTTTTGCCCACTTTATACTTATGTTATTAGGGTTTTTTTCTTGTGGAGACTCTGTAAACTTTAGTTATGCATCTGAAATTTGGTAGCCACTATTTTCCCCATCTGTAGGCTTTTTTTTAACCCTATAGGGGAAAGATTTTCATGCACACAAAAATTTTATTTTAGGAGGTCCCATTTGTTAATTTTATCCTCTCCTGGTTTTGCATTTTTTACTATATTTGCAAACTATTAATGCAGTAGTCTAGGGCTTCTAAGTTTGTTCTCATTTTGTCTTTTGCAAGTGTCATTTGTTGAAGAGGTTGTCATTTCCCCATTTAGTAGGTTTAGTTTCCTTGTTAAGTACCAAGGTAGATGGTTTGACTCCTGGGTTCTGGGTTCTATTCAACTGGTCTATGTGTCTATCACTGTGTCAACGGCAACAGCTGTGTAGTAGGTTTTGAGATGATGGAGTACAATGCTTCCCACTTCATCTTTCTTTTTCAGAATAGCTTTTTTAGAATAATCGGGGTCTTTTTCTTTTCCAAACAAAACTGCAAGTTGTCTTTTTCTATCTCCTTAAAAAGACTCTTCACAAAGTTAGGGCATTTAGATGGCCGACAAACACATGAAGAAATGTTCATAATCACTGGCATTCAGAGAGATGTAAATCAAAACAACAATGAAATATCATCTTACCTCAGTTTTCTGATGATGTTGTTGTTGTTGTTAGGTGCCATTGAGTTGAGTACAACTCATAGTGACCCTATGAACAAAAGATCAGAACTTGTTCTTTTCTGTGCCATATTCATACTTCCCACACACAAGAGCCCACTGCAGCTGTCATCACATCAATCCACCTGGTTGAAGGTCTTCCTCTCCTTCACTGCCACTCCAACCTTCCTAGTATCATGTCCATGTCCAAGGAAAAGCCCCTCCTAGCAACATGGCAAAAGTATATCAGGTAAAGCCTCATCATTCTTGCCTCCAAAGAGCACTCCGGCTATACCTTCTCCAAGACTTTTTGTTTGTTCTCTTGGCTATCCATGGGATGTTCAGCACTCTTCACCAACACCAAAGCTCAAAGGCATCAATTCTTCTTCTGTCATCTTTATTCATTGTCCAGCTCTCAGTGGTGTACCAAGTAATCAGAAAGACTATGGCCTGAATCAGACATGCCTTAGTCCTCAAACTGAAATCATTACTGTTCAATAATTTGGAGAATTCCCTAACTCCAGATTTTTCCAGTGCAATCGGTCTCCTTATTTCCTGACTGCTGAAACAAAGGGTGTTAATTGTGGATCCAAACAAGGGGAGGGGATTGTTCTATGTGGTACAGAATTTTTCTGCCAGATTGCTATACTGATATAATTTGGGGTTGCTGTGATGCTGAAAGCTGTGCCACTGGTATGTCAAATATTGTAAGGGTTAGCCATGGTGGACAGGGTTTGGTGGAGCTTCCAGATTAAGACAGACTAGGAAGCAGAATTGGCATCCACTTCTTAAATGACAGGCCTTTGAAAATCCTAAGAACACTAGAGGAATGTGGATAGTTATAGTAATATAGTGGTAGAACCCAGATAGGAAGTCAGTTGAAATGAGGAAAAACAATAACAAACATTGTTTAATAATTGGTACATGGAATGCATGTAGCTTGAATGTTGGAAAACTAGAAATTGTTTACAATAAAATTGAATACATGAACATCAACATACTAGGCATTCGTGACATCAGATGGACCAGCTTTGGCCGCTTTGAATCAGACAATGATATGGTATACTACATTTGGAATGAAAAACAGAAGAACAGTGTTGTATTTACAGTCTTGCCTCAGTAGTAGTGGCAAAATTTAACAGGACAGCAAGCAATAAAATATTAGTGAGGACGTGGACAGATTGGAGCTCTCCTGCATTGCTGGTGAAACTAAAATGATACAACCAGTACAGAAGGGGCATTGGTTATTTCCTCAAAAAGCTAACCAGAAATCCCTTGTGACTCAGCTATTCCACTTCTGGGAATATAATCGAAGGAAATCAGAGCTGAGACAAAAGCAAAGAAATCTACATTTATGTTCACAGCAGCATTATTCCCAATAGCAAGAAAGTGGAAACAAATCAAATGCCAACAAAACATACACAGGTGGTATATTCACATAATGGGATACTATGCAGCACTAAAGAACAACAGAGTAGTTGTAAAATAACATGGAAATAAAATAACATGGAACGTCTACAGATCAATCACAAAAAGTTCAATACTGCATAAGACCACTACTGTGACAATAAGAGGGTACCTGAGAGGTTGAGGGAGGAGAAGAATAGAAATATAATGGGTAGACAAAGAACACTACAAGGACCAAAACCAGGGAAGACCCATCTGGGAAAAATCAAGATAAAGACCATAAGTCTATTACAATTACCAAATGGGAAAAAGATATAGATTGATGCAGATATGGATATAGATTTAGATAAAGATATAGATATCTAACTGAAAGGAGAAATGAAGAAGGGGGATGGAAGAAAGGTAAGGAAATCACTAGGACAGCAGAGAGCAGTGGGAGGCTAGAGAGTGAAGAAACAGATAGGGTAAAATGAGGACTTTAAGACATAAGGAGATAAAAGTAACAGGCCAATAGCAATATTTATATAAAACACAAGGCAAAGAAAGTACATGAATGAAACAATGCCTATGAATAATTACATGTATAAAAGTGAATGATGTTTTTAAAAAGACCTAGATGAACAACAAAAAAAGAAATTTTAACCAAAAATTGACCAGGAATAGGCAACGTAAGAAAAACTACTAAAAGATTGCTGTCACGGCCAACCAAGTTGAATCTCTAACACTGGCAGAACTTCTCAAAAATCACCGGCCAGAAATACAAGGAAAGGGAATCACTTAACTTCCCTAAACAGCAAAAAAAAACAGAAAATTCACCAAGGTCTCTCTAAAAGCATTGGGGGGCGGGGGAGGGGGGAATCAGATTAATATAATAAATAGTGACATTATTTTAAACTTTTTGTAAAGTGTAAAATGCATCTGTTTATACTATCTGCTAGAGTTCATCCCTGTGTTTTATTGTGAGCATGTTCCCAGTGCACAAATAGCTAGCTGCATTCATGGATAACAGTTTTAAACAAAGAGTTCCTAGGTGTGTTCACTACACAATGAATGACCAAACTTGATCATTAATATTGAACACTCAATATGTGTGTGACAGATCTAGATATATATATATACATTCCCTGTTGGTGTCAAATATGAGTTTTAACTCACCCAAATGCCCAGTGAGAGCCCTACTCAGGAGCATAATACTTATTTGAGATGATAGAGAAACTGGAATTTGGCTTTATAATTGTTGTTGTTATTGTTGTTATGTGCTGTCAAGTAGGAACCAACTTACAGCTGACATTCCATGACAGAAGATTGCCCATCTTTTCCCTAAGGAGCAACTAGAGAAATTATACTACATGTCTTTGCATTGGTAGTGCTACTCCTAATCCCTAAGCTACCAGAGCTCCTTGGGCTATATAATATGACCGTTAAAATAATCCATATCCATCAAAGTAATCAACTATGTCAGTAAATAAAGATAATAGAAAACAAATTGATGCTTTTGAATTGTGGTGTTGGCTCAAAGGATTAAATATCCCATGGACTGTCAAAAGAACAAGCAAGTTTGTCTTAGAAGAAATGTAATCAGGTTGCTCCTTAGAGGTATGGTGAAAGTCCATCTTACATACTTCAGGTATGTTGTCAGGCAGGGACAGTCCTTGGGGAAAGACATCATTGTGGCAAAGCTGGAAGATCAGAGGAAGAGAAGACAACCCCACCACTACCACCACCTCCATCTCTGCACTGATTGTGATTTCTATAATATTAAAGTGGCGTTGTGCAATCATAAGGTTTTGAATCAGCTCCACCCACACTGGCCCCTGTGGGTTTCAATAACTCAATAATAGCTGCTTCCCAATAAATGGGAGACTGGAGATGTCTGAAGTTCATTCTGCCCTGAGTCCACCAGGAACAAAAGGGACCTCCAACTGCCCTCCAGGAGCCCAACCATGAATTCTCTCTCCACAAGTAAGTGAAGGAAGTCCCAAGCCCAGAAGTTGGCTGTGGCTGCCCAGTGCTGTGGGAGGGAGGGAGAGTGCACCACAGCTGGCTGCCAGCCAGCAGTCAAGCTCTCTCAGCTGTGCAAGCAGCTCACCCCTCACTCTGTCCTTGCTTCCTTCCTGCACAGGCGCCTTTGGTCCAGTTGCCTTCTCCCTGGGGTTGCTGCTGGTCATGGCTTCTGCTTTCCCTTGTCGGACTCCTCCGGGAGGAGATTCCAAAGAGGATGCCACCTCCAACACACCACAGGCCACCATTTCAGATAAGACTAAAGAATTCATGAAGTTCATCATTGACCAGATCTCTGCTCTGAAAAAGGAGGTGAGTAGACTTGACTCTGGTGGTAAGAAAGTTCTAGTGTGGATTCATTCTTCTTGTGTCTGGATGTGAGCAAGTACCTTGGGAGGTGTTTGCTGTGTTCTAGATTGTAACAGTAGTAGGCTTGGTTCATATGATAAAGTTTATTATATTCTTTCCAGATGTGTGAAAAGTATGACAAGTGTGAAAACAACGAGATACTGGCAGGAAACAATATGAACCTTCCAAAGATAACAAAAAATGATGGATGCTTCATTTCTAGATTCAGTCAGGTATGAACTTAACATTCACTTTTAGTTCTTGGCTCAGGCCAAAGCTCTTGCATGCAGTGTCCATGCGTATAAATGCATGAAAGTCACAGAGAAGATAGATCTAAAGTTTATTATGTAACTTTCATTATGAAGAAATTTGTAGCTTTGTAAAAGGCAATTTACGTTTGAACAGTTATAATCAGAAATGGCCTGGGTTCAAATTCTTGTATCTGTTAAACATGAAGAGTGAAATCCCAGCAGGTTTGGCTAGTTTGTCCTGAGGATAGGGCTTCTGTGAGCTTTCTCCCCTTTATCTGCCCCTGGCAGGATCTCAGCCCCCTCCTTCTGCTCTAAGAAGTTAAACTCTACACACTTCTTATTCCAGTGATAACCTGATCTGACTTCTGATTATCGCATAAAACCAATTGTCATCCCAACAATGGCAAGGACAGGACAGTCAGAAGAACATGCATCAAGGGAAGATTTAGAGAAGGGACTCCATTGCCACACTGTAGTATCTCTTGGACTTTAGATGAAATTGTTTACATTGTGCATCTGATTGTCCAGATATGTAAAAGAAGGCCCCTGATGTTGACTGACACCCCAAAACATAATGCAAAAAGGCACTAGAAGTTCCCTGGAGGGGAAAAGGAGGAAGCTCAATTATACTCATTCTTAGCTTTCTAAATCTTTATCTTTTCCTCGCCATTACCAATTTTTCTACTGTCTCAGGAGACCTGCCTGACAAGAATCGTCACTGGTCTTCTGGAGTTTCAAATATACCTGGATTACATACAGAACAAGTTTGAAGGCAGCAAGGAGAAAGTCACAGTTGTGCAGAGGAGCACCAAAACCCTGGTCCAGATCCTGAAGCCAAAGGTAAGTGTGTGCAGCCCACACTTGACATAAAAAAAGGCTCAGAGAAGGCTGCCTAAGAGAGCATGGGGCCAGGTTTTAAAACTGGCAAAAAGTAAAGGCAGGCTTTGAGAACTTTTTCTTGATATCTCATCTCATATACATTGGGCTTTTAATCAGCAAAGACTAGTCCTTGGAAAAAGACATCATTCTTGGAAAGGCAGAAAGTCAGAGAAAGGAAAACCTTCCACAGATGGATTGTCTCAGTGACTGTAACAGTGACAGAATCACTGATAGGATCAGAGATAGTGAGGGTGGCACAAGAGAAGACAAGTTAGAACTTGTTCATAGCATTGCTGTGAGTCATGGATGACTCAGTGGCACCTATCAGCACTAAACATTTTTTTAAGTATTTTTTTGGTAGAATATCTTCTGCCTAGGATGGTAAGGCATTGATAATCATATTTTAAATTGGGTTAAATAAGGTACATTTTGCTGTCAGAGACCTCCCCAAAGTACTGAAGAGTAACTATGTCAGCCTGGAAACTAAGGTGCTCCTAATACAGGCCATGGTCTTTGTAATTACTTGCTATGCATCAGAGAGCTGGACAATGACTAGAGATGATAGAAGGAGAGTTGATGACTTTGAGCTGGTTTGTCCTGGAGAGGGTGAAGCCAGGTTGCTCCTTGGAGGCAAGGATTCTGAAACTTTGTCTTTGGGCATGTTGCAAAATTCCTTGGAGAGGAACATCATGTTTGGGAGGGTGGAGGGACAGTGCAGGAGAGGAAGACCCTCGAAGAGATGGACTGATTCAGTCACTGGGGTATTGGGGATAGGTGTGTTGGAGACAATAAGATTGGCACAGGTCAGGGCAGGGTTTAGGGCTGTTGTTACATAGGGTCGCTACGAGTGCGACTCGGCGGCACATAACAACAACAACATCATCGAGGCAGAAGGAAGCACATCCATATATACCCAGAGACCTACAGTAACCAAGAACAGAAAGCACAAAAATAGTTCTAATAGTTTAATTATTGTCAATTGACATTTTGTCATTATGGTAATTTCAATTCCTTTTCTCTATATTTTATGAAAAGAGATAATGCAGAGAAGTGATCAAAGGCTCAAGTCCATGAGAGGAGGTACAAAAGGGCTTTAGTAACCTATAGGTTACCTGCACAAAATGCAAACAATGGAGAGTTGACTGTATTAGGCTGTTACTAGTTAATCTTCTTACGCTATATCTCACTTTTTTTAATTTAAATTTTTCTTTTATACTGATTTACTTACAAAGTTCTTATATATGGTTTTTCACATCAGATCTTTCCCATTTCCTTTACTCACCCCTCACTCCACACATCAAATTGTATGATTAATGCCCCCCACATCCCCCCCCCCCACCCATGCTCACCTCTCTGCTCCCACCCTTCCCCCCTTGGATCCTCGTACACGTTCGGCAATGATTTTGTAAATCACTACCTAACTGGAGAGCATTATGCTAAGTAAACTAACTCAGTTCCATAAGGACAAATACTGTATAAGACCATTATTTCAGTACATCTCACTTTTTAAAAAGATTTTTATTAATAATTTTTGTAAATGCAACATATATATATTTACAGCATATTCTTTTCATTTAATTTTTCCCCATTCATTCATTGTTGCACATTTTCCTCCCTGCCCACCCCTCCCCCAGTTCATTTTTCTCTTTGAGGAAAAAAAAATTCATTGTTATAAAATTCTCCCCCTTACTCCATAGTCCAGTTTAATATGCATTTTTTCTGTAATCTCCTCATAAAAATAATACCTAATCCTTTATTCCTTTTAAACAGTTCCCTCCCTCATCTGTTTCAGTGCAGTACACTCACTTTTTAATGTGCATGAAAATCGCTTGTGCATCTCTTTTACATCCGAGTCTGCTTCTCCAGTTTATAGAGGCTTACAATTTGTTTCACAAGTGCAAGTGATGTTTATTTGTTTTAATAATTTTTTCATTTTAATTGTGATTTTAATGAAAGTTTACAGAAGAGTTAGATTTTCATTAATTGGTTGTTATACATTCTACCCCCTCTCCCTCTTTTCCCCCTCTCTCAGTTCACTTTTTTAATAGTCATTCATTGTTGCACAATTACCTCCCTCCGCAACTCCCATCCCCCAGTTCTCTTTGCAATGCACCTCTTTTTCTGGGCTATTGTCATACATATAATGCCTAGTCATATATTCCTTTGGTTTGGTTTTGTTTTGAGGGGTTTGTTGTTGTTTGTTTGTTTTTATTTTACACTGGTTCACCTACAAAGTCTGTATACATTGCCACTTACACCAGATAACCCCCCACCTCCCCAATCCCTCCCCTTCCTTCCATCAAACTGTGTAACTAACCCCATAATTACCATCCCCCTATCCTACCCAGTTGCTCCTTCCTCCCGCCTTAGATCCTCATACATGTTTTACTAGTTATCTATTTCTACAATAATGATCTTATACAGTATTTGTCCTCATAAGACTGAGTTTGTTCACTTAGCATAATATTCTCTAGGCCCTCCCAAGTTAGGTAGTAATTTACAAAATCACTGCCCCTGTGTGCTACCTAGTATTCTCTCCTGCCAGGTGAGGTTGATGTAGTTCAAAGACCACACTTGTTGAAAGTAGAGTTTTGATGAGCAACTTCTTCCCATATGCTGTGGATATTCCACTGTCCTCTTCATATCTCTAGGGGGAAAGTCCACAACCAGTCACACACGGATTCTCAAGGGAGATACACAAAGAAGAGGGGAAACTAGAGAAAAGCCTTAGAGTTAGCGAATACTAAAGAACCCCTACAAAGCCTTTAATCATAAGTCCTTTGCTCACTCATTTAGTCAACAAGTAACCTATGACTTTCCAGCTGATAAACACTATTTCAGATAATAGAAAAGAAGACAAATAAAATTCTGCTACGGTCTTTAAGATGATTCATGAAAAGATTGGGGTTTTTTTTAGGAATAGCCTAAGGCAGTCTTATGGAAGATAGTGCCACAAGGGATGGTTAAAATTCAGTTGCTATGAAAGGGGCCAAAGCAGGGTGAGCTCAGAGGAGAAGCACCTCAGCCATCGCTTGAGTCAGGGTAAGTGCTCTCAATTAGTCTCATCTGGATGAGAAAAGAATTGATGCCCTTGAGCTGTGGTCCTGGAAGAATATTGAACATACCATAGACTGCTAAGAGAACAAACAGGTTAACCCTGGAGAGGGGAAACCAGGCTGCTCCTTGGAAGGAAGGATTTTGAAGCTCCATCTCACATAATTTGGCATGTGGCCAGAAGAGACCAGTCCTTGGAGAAGGAAATCATGCTTGGAAGGGTAGAGGAACAGCGTAAGAGAGGAAGACCCTGGAGGAGATGGATTGACACAGTAACTGAGGAAATGGGTATAAGTTGTGTTGAAATCAGTGAGATTTGTTCAGGATAGAGTGGAGTCTATAAGGTCACCATGAGTCACAGGTGACTTGATGGCACATAGCAACAACCACCTCAACTTTAAACATCTTACCACAATTTGAAACATCCCTTCCCTGCAAGAAAGTTCTTTAATGTTTAAATAACCCATTTGTTTTGTTTTGTTTTCCCTTCAGGTGAAGAATCCAGTGACCACCCCCAACCCAACCACAAATGCCAGCCTGCTCTCCAAGTTGCAGCCACAGAGTGAGTGGCTGAGGAACACAAGGATTAACCTCATCCTGCAGAGCCTGGACATCTTCATGCAGTTCAGCCTGAGGGCTATTCGCAACATGAA